CGTTAAAACGTTCAAACGGCCAACTCTCATGAGCTTGGCTGGATCGATGATTGTTATATCAATCGGTAGAGTTAGTACGCATTTGACTCAACACGTGAGAAAATACATACATTTTATACTGGTATCGTCTTGCCTCACGGAACACAGCGGAGCGAAGCGTTTCACGATGTGCATTTATGATTATTCGATTCAGGAAGATATATTGTCGGCAATTGAAGCGAATAAGAATTCTCTGGCGGTAGTGTGTCTAAGTGGAGTTCAGTACTACTCGGGTCAATACTTTGATAGTAGGTTTGTATTCTATTTTGGGTTGATATTGGATATATCGTTTTAGTTGCGACCATCACTACTGCTAGTCGTAGGGCAGGAGCGTACTCTATTTGGGATCTAGCGCATGCAGTGGGCAATGTCGACTTGGCACTCCATGAATGGGGCGTTGATGGTAATACTACACTATTGGAGTGATCACACTGCTAGGCTTTTGTCAATCGTACTACTCAGCAGTAGTAGTTATGGTCTTTCTTGGAAGCGGACATAGCTAAGTCAAATAGGTTAAAATGAGAGATATTAGTTTTTGTTATGAAATGATGAGTGATATACCCACACGGCCGGGCGGGCGAGATTGGTGAATCTTTTAGTAGTACGTGGTTGTATATATAATCGTCATAGTTTGCGAGTAGAATCAGTGGGAAATGAGTGGGCAGCGCGTTTACTACTGTGTCTTCACCCGACTGTATCTCAATGAGACATCATGTTTGTCGAAGTACTATGTTTGGAACATGTTTGGAAGTGATAGTACTGATGCGTGATAGGAATGCGAAGCAGTAGTTAGCAACAGTATGCACATGGTCAACTACATGTGTTGCTGACAATATGTGAATCTTGAGGAAAATTTTAGGAATTTCTTGTTGGTTTGTGAATACTTTTACCCGAATTCGCGTGTTAACTCCTATAACTAGTGAGGAAACTGCTGAGGGCAGCTGAAGAAAGCGAGCATATATTCAGACTCCAATGCTGATTGGCAATGTCAATGTTAGGAGCAGCATGGTGTAGTTATAAATACCTCAACTCTGGTGCTGGCGGAGTTGGCGGGCTCTTTCTACATCAGCGTCATCATCATCGCAATAGTGGGCCGGAAAAACAACCTTATCTCAAGGGTGAGTCGAAACTCAATGCTAGTGCCTTTCTGAGTGGTTTTATGCTAGCAGGCTGGTGGGGACACCTTGAGAGTACTCGATTCGAAATGACGAATGAATGGGAGCCTGAGACTGGTGCTGCTGCAATGCGATTGTCGAACGTACCAATGCTGGCTGCTGCCGCGATGATGGGCAGCCTCGGTGTTTTCAATAAGACTAGTATGACTCAGCTTAGGTGGTGAATAAAGAACTCTGCTGAGAGGGCGAATGATTACGTGTTTAGAACGAAATCGATATTACTAACGGGTTTGCTCCAGCGGGAAGTGAATAAATTAACAGGGAAAGGCGCTGAGATGATTTTCCGAATAATAACACCATTTGACCCACGTGAAAGAGGAGCTCAGCTGAGTTTGAAATTTGAAGTGGGTTAATGATCTCGATTGTCGTTATGAATGATTAACGTGCTTAGAGAGTTCCGCCTGGCGCTGGGGAGGAGAGTGTGACGGAGTTCACGTTAAGGGTGCATCGTGAACTGGAAAGTGCGGGAATCATCACAGATTATCGGTGAGTTTGTGAACTGGTGACGAGTTGATCTCCCTCCCTGGTTGCGCACGTTATGCATTCGGAGGAGTATCTTCATGCACATCTTGCATGAAAAACCGTTTCATGTGTCACTTATCTTAACCTTATGTTCAGTTAATCGTGAAATTCAGAATTGATTCTAGCAAGGTATTACACGTGTGAGAGTTGATTCTATAATCGATGCTGAGGTTCGAAATCGG